CTTGAAGTGTGCTTATTTTTTGTTAAAAAAAAAAAAAAAGTGTAGTCATTTATTGGAGGATACTTGCAGGTCTAAGCAAAGCATTGCTAAAACTAAAGCCCGTGTAATTTTCCCTCTACTTTTACCCCCGTAGTCCCCCCCCTCATTCTAGGCGCCACTTTTGGTTCTCACAGAGGTGTGACGTTGTGCATTCCTAACCCCGATAACACATCATCTTCCTGGCCTTCAATCTTCCTCTGGCTCTGTCTTCTTTCACTCCCCCCTCCACCAATGAGAATGGCAGAATCAAAGCAAGCTAAGAAAACATTCCCTATAAACAAAGTATACAAATGCCATTTACTATACTAATAAAACAGTCCTCTAGTTGATATATATTTTGATTGCTGCAGGATCTGACACAGTGTTTTAAAATCATGTAAATTATTATTATTATTATTTAAATTTGCAGTTTAATTTGTTTTTACTGTGCATGTATTGTAATATAATCCTCCTGAAAGATAAAATAGTTGATACTTGTGTTAGTAGGCAAATAAGTACTTTGTATTTACTTATTTTAATTATTTTCCATTTATTCATTCTTCTATAGGCAAGTTGCATTAGCAGATCTCATCATCATCAACAAGACAGATTTAGTTTCACAAGGTGAATTGATGAAACTAAGAACAGCTGTCAGGTAAGCATATATTTATTTCCAGTATGTATTGAAAATATTTTTATACTGTTTTTTTTACTAAAATACATTTAGAAATCTGAACAAGTACAATTAAAACAAACTTAGATGTGTACGTTGCATTTTAACTACCTGATCATTTAAATGAACCATGCAAAGGAAGTAGAAAAAAAGGCAGCTTTTCACCTGAGAAAATGAGAGAGAGGCTTCAGGCACTGAGTTCTGCAGGATAGAGTGGTTCCTGGGGAATTTGGGTTGGAATATTTATTGCTGTTTTCCTATGACTGGTAGCCGCTAGAACGGTAGATTACATGGAATCAAAAGAATACATGTTATTTAATTATTTAATTAGAATGTGTTTATTTAAATACCTTCTATTTAGAAGATTCACAACTCTACATACTTGCTTCAGGCAGGCTTGATGTTTTGTATGAAATGAAACTACCAGTCTTCAGGTGATCAGAGATTAGTTCTAGTGTCTGCTGCAGTTTGATGAACAGGAATGTAGGAAGTTATTGACTAAGGCAGAATTACAACCACTGTAATTAATCATCTTCATCTTTTATTGGGAGAAAAAGATGATCTTGGGGTCTGAATGTCCAGCTCCTTCTGCTTTGACAGTAGAGTTGGCTTCCATAAAGTGGAGGATTCTATATAGTGTAGCTGAAATCCTATATCCAGGTTAAGTGCATAAACTGGATTACAGGATTTACAGGCCACATGCTGCTTAGTTGTACTGCTGTGACCAATGTGGTAATGTTACCATTTTTGGCAGGATATGACTTCAGAGTGTTCCCTGACTGGAAATCAAGTCCTAGATATAATGCGTTATATACCCTACAGTTCCTACCTCCACCAAAAACTCACCCATTTTCATCATTATCATGACATCATCATGCCCTTCTATAAGCTTCAGAGGCCAAAACAGTTTCCCTGCCACACCAGATCTGTAACTCCTCTGTTTTATCTAGCCTTGAATCCAATGTAATCAGAAAAAGAAGCGAGAAAACTATAGAAAAAGCAAGCTGTAAATATTTTTATCTCCAGAAGAAGAATCCTATGAGGAAGATAGGCTGGCAGTGAGTGATCCATCCAGAGTGATCCAGTGAGCAACATAGTTGAGTTAGGATTTGAACCCTAGTCTCACCGGTCCAAGTTCAAGAGTTAATCATTGTATTACACTGGCTCTCTGTGTAAAAGTACCATGGATTATGATGACATTTCTCTGGAAATCTCTAGATTATCATATGAGGAAGTTGATCTACATCTGAACAGGCTCATCTTGCAGCAATCTGAGATCAAGCCTTGCCTGTAGCTATCTCAGTTCTTTGGAAAGTGCTCCCTGCTGAATTGCAAGAGTACTTAAAAACACACCTTTTGAGTTAGGTTTTACTATTGAATATTTTAAATTAATGTTTAATGTTCTTGAGGTTGTGGTTTTATATTTTTATTGTAAACTTCCGTAAAACCTTGGTAATAGATAATATGTAAAGTCTATTGTTGTTTTAGCAAGGATCTGGTTACACAGGGTCTGTGTCCATGGGAATCTAAATTTTGTAAGGTGGATTACAAATTATTCCTGATCATAAGTATTCTATTATCATATTTTTTTCTTCTCTTCTTCAATAATGTTAGAGCAATAAATGGAGTTGCCAAAATTTTAGAAACTCAGCGATCAAGGTAATTAAAACAATGCAAAATTAACTTTTTCCTACTGTTGTGAACAATATATATTAATTTGAAATGTTTATTTTATTAAGAAAGTCAACATTTATAGACAGAACCTAGAACTCACCATCTCCTGGTTTCTAGCCTGGTGAGAATTTATGATTAGATAGAACATAATACATCATAATACATAATAGCTGGCCATTTAATCCCCACCAGAGTATTCAAAACATTGTTACTGGGCCCTTGGACAACCAGGCATATTTTTAATTAAACCAACAATCATGTAACAAAATAAATAGGATTTTATTAAATATAGAATGTATCTCAAGTAACTATGAAACTTTACCATTTTTTTATTTGGATTTTATTAATTTAAATTTTATTTTATTAAATTAATTAAAATTAAAATTTATACATTTTATTAGTTTTGAAAAAAAAAGTACATCTGCGAGAAAGTAATATATCAAACATGTAGAGCTTTCTTTTTATTCTCACCCACAAAGTAGCATTTGATATAAGCAAACCCTTAAAAAATTCCAAAAACAAAAATGCAACTGTCGACGAGACCTAATGAAGTTATTCTTATATTCTGAACTCTTATAATCCAGGGTTTAAACATTTGCTAACATTTGAATATACTGCACTGTTCCTACTGTCTCATGCTGGATGGGAATATGTCGTCCTTTAGATATTGCTATTTAGGGACAATAGAAGTTGTAAACATCAATAGATTCTCCGCTTGCACTTTAATTACATATTTTCAAGCGTAGTACTGATTCAGAAAGGAACAAAATGGAATATGTGTCAACAGAAGAATGCAGGCAACATCACATAAATGTTTATTTAGCTTGGCGCAAAGACAGTTCTTGCGTAATTTCCCTCTCTAGAGACACCGTGGGGCATATGATCTAATCCTATATTGAATTATATCTGTTGGAAATGTATTACCACATTCATTTTTCCCCTATATAATTTGTTCTAGAAAATATTTTTCCATGCATGTATTGCACTTGATAAATGATATCTACAAGGTTCTCTGCAACTTGTATAATAATATCTCTGTTATAAATTTGCAAATAGCATATGCAGATTTATAATAGAGATATTATTATACAACAAGTTGAAGAGAACTTTGTAGATATCACTTATCAAGTGTAACATGTGCATATTTTCCCTAATAGGGAGACTAAAATGTCATGAAACAAACTTTTCTGTTACTATATCTACTCAATCATCTCACCTATTACTTCAGGTCACCAGCATTTCCAAACATTTTAATCCTATTAACAGATCCACTGATATAATTTCATTAGAAATTCAGATCTGCTCCATGATGGAGGATTTATGTCCTGCTGCCAAACAGCTGCTTTGTGCAAATTCTTTTCTGTTGTGACTGTCATGTTAGCTTATATGGATTACAGTCTTTGTCATTCTTTCTTTTGTTGAGTTAGGAAGGAGGGGGGGGAATGTGTTAAATAGTTCCAGCAACATTACACTCTAACTTAACATTCTGTTAAAGCTCTGTATAGCTTTTCTTAGTGTCCTATTGCCTTTTTATTGATCATAATTATTCTGCCAGCATGACACATCGTAAAATGTACTAGTATTAAATTTAGATTTTAAAAAGTTCTCTATGTTCAAAACTAGCATTAGAAATTGGTTGGAGACACCGAACCATTCTTAAATTCTAAAGATTTTGTTAAAGTGTCCACAGTGAAGGTTATTACTAAACACTGTTTGCAATTTCTTGTTGAGTGTGATTTTTTAAAAAAAATATGCCAGCAATACCATTTCTAATTGTGCAATATAAAGCAAAATAATTTAAGGAATTGTTTTCAGGACTTTGCTTTTTAAAGTCAAAAGCTAGTCTAGATGTTTCTGAACAAACTTTGGAACAAGAGAAGTGGCAGTGTTGTAATGGCTGTGCTGCTATTTTCCTGACAGCAGAGAATTCGCCAGGGTTGTGTGAAGTTTCTTACACTCTTCCAAAGTGTAAGACATTTCTGCAGTGCTAGAGAAGCTGAAAGAAGACTTGTCTATGTGTTTAGTTCTAATAAAAAGAACTCATACTTTCAATGAGAATGACCTATAGCAAGCCTCAGATCAGTGCTGCTCTGCTCTATCTGCTATATTAACAATGAACAAAAGCATTCTGCATTAATTTTTAAACTGAGTACTTTCCCCCAGGATGCCTTAAGTAAAAACCAACCAAACAAAATTGGTTGGATTAAATCAGGGTTACTGAGATTGTTAGGATCAAATAGTAGTTTTAAATCCTAGTTTATTCTCAAATCATCATAGTTGCCTGAATCGGGGCATCACACACAACTGAGATTTCATGTAAAACTGAATGCTTGGCTTCCCATATTAGCATGAAAGTAAATGAGAGGGAAGATGTGAAACTGAAGCCTGAAGTAGCTCATTTTTATATAGAATTCCACAAATTTACGTTATGACTGGATTCCCCCACTGCGCTAAATAATGTTGCTTTGGGGATTTGGCTAGCATTATGTGTGAGCCAAGTGAGTGTTGCTTATTCAGTAAACAGAGTCTAACAAATCATTTTCTGCAGAATGAATACATACACATCCATTCACTTCCAGAAAGTATAAAAGGCAACAGTGGAGAGAAAGAGCCACAGAAAAACATTATTGAACAAAAGGCATTCTGTTCATGCAGTTTTAGAGTATCCATAACATGCATTTTAAAAGACATGATTAACTTTATTTTTTTCCCAGAGTTGATCTCTCTAATGTGTTAGACCTGCATGCTTTTGACAGTGTATCAGGAAAAAGGTAAGATTGCATGTTGCTCCTTGTTTTAGAATTGAGCTTGTATTTCTGCTATACCCTGATATTGACTGTTGTGCAAATTCTGCTTTGCATTTGTGGTACCATGGTGTTAAATGTATTGTGCTTATAAGTTTGCAGCAAAAACTTCAGCTTGAAGAAGTACCTCAGCCACATCTAGATAAGGTAATTGTTTATACTAACTTGTAATTGAGCAGTAAGTTTGTACTAAGCATGACTGGCTAATCATTTGTTAATTGTATGTACAGTGCCTTTTATTTCCCTTTTCCATCATCATCTAACATTATGTCAGCTCCACCCCCAGAGGAAGACTAGAACTGTGCTTTATTGGTAGGATCTAATAACAGAATCTTGCAAGTCTGTTTGTGCTTTACCTCCCCTCTATGCATTATCAGTCCTCAAGGGATACAAGGAAGAATGCTACCAGATCCAGTAATAGTGAGATGGGAAATAAAAACTAAGAAATTGGATTTTGGGTTTGTTTGTTTTTTTAATCTGAACACCCCCACCTGCCTGGATGGACTGGATGATGTCAGAGGATAGGTCAGAAAGAAGAAAAACTCTCCCCTCAGTACCAATCTTACGCTTTGATATCTTTAATTTCTCCATGCAAGATGCTGCTTGGGCAAGAGAGGGGCAACTTTCCCTGTTTTGCCTGCATGGTCTGTGCAGGGCAGTGTTAGACTGTCCCTTGTCTTTCCCATTGGGGAATGTGTAGGGTAGCCAGTGTTCAGCCATTATTTGCAACTGCTCTTAGTGGAATGCCTACAAGAGGTTGTGATGGATCCAGTCTCCCTTCCCTCGTTAGATAATTTCGTTAAGCATAGGATGTGAACAGAGAAGCCAGACGAAAAATCTATGTGAATCTAACCCCTGATTGTCTTCCCTTATGACTCAGCCTTATGCTAAATAGGTATAGTAGGAGTCGCCTGGAAGACAATGGATCAAGTCTTTCAAAATATTGATTGGCCAGTGTAAATTTCTATGCTGGGAAGCTACTCCCTACCCTCCTAGAATACTCCTGTTTGGGGAAACTTGCTTTTTCTCCAGGTGGCTGGCCAAGAACGAAGGCCAGTGTCTGCTCTGGAGACCTAGGGAACTGTCTTTATAAGTATTGACAAAGGTCAGGATTCCTTATAGACTTAGCACTTAAAATTAGTCTTTTGTTATTTTAACCCCTCTATGCTTGATTCTTTAATAAACGTACTGAATTGGGAACTGGAGTTAAATTAAGCCTTATGCATAACCTGGGGAATGGTCCTACACATATGCCAGACTGCAAGATATTTGCTTTTCAAGGAGAATAAAGAACTCTGAAAAAGTACCTGTCCCTCCTTTATAAGCATGAACTCTTGGGTGTTTATGCAGAACTTTATAGATTCTTGTAGAACACCTTAATGGTGGCAGTTTACCTACCTCTGAAATATATAGTGAGGGACCCCGACTGGACAGATCTGTCCAATTTTAGTATTCCCACAAGCTAAAATTGGCCTTGTGCAAGAAAAATTAGAACCCATCTAATTTTCCTGATGTTTACTTTACAGTTTTATGATGAATAGATAATGTTTTAGGGAATGCAGTAATCATGCATGCATGCATGCGTGTGTATATACACACATACACACACATACATACACACATATTTTTATTCATCTGTGATTCAAAGATTTAACTTTTTTTAAAGATTTCTAAATGGTGTTATTCTGAATCTTGTTTTATCAGACTCTTCCTAGTTATTTAGGATAGTTGGAAAGAATTGCTTTGTTTCATATGAAAATATGTAAGTGGATTAAATGGAAAGTAGTATAAAAAAAGGATGACTCTAATTTTAAAAGGTTTGTGTAGCAATATATTATACTACTAAATGGGATTGATTGGTAGCATCATGATTTGAAACTGTCAGTACATTTGTGTTTTGTCAATGCCTGAAAATGATAGACAATGTTAGAAGATGGCTCTGTTATAACTATATAAAGACATGCACTGAAAGCATGTGTGCATTTAGTTATTGCATTTAGGACTTTAAATGGTTCCAATTTATTATGTAAATAAATATATATGATCATGAAATATATCAGTTCAGGGGGAAAAAAGGTAAAGAAGTAAAATTTTCAGCTTTATCATTCTTTTTTATATAAGGGCGTTATTTATTAATTTAATATTACGGTGTTTGCAGATTCCATGGATTGCTAATATAGCATTTTTATCATTAGAATGTATTTTGCTCTTGTTAAAAATCAGAATATAACAATTTTTAAATATTAATTTTCAGAGTATTGTTACATCCACTTTCGAAGTGCTAGGAAATACAACTGAAGAAGACCTAAATGTGTTTATTCAAGTAAGTGCTATATTATTTGCACGAAAGTTCCAATTTATTTATTTCATACTTTCTTTATATAGGAACACATCTTTGACTGTAGAAAATAAACAGGATTTGAAAGAACTTTACCTTTTTTTCCCCAGGAAGATTATCTTATTGCATAATTCTTGCATCATTTTTTATTTGTTTTAGAATCTGTTGTGGGAGAAAAATGTAAAAGACAAGAAAGGTAACCCCATGGAAGTAATAAGACTAAAGGTTCAGTACTCAGTATTATCATTCTTATTTTCAAAAACATTCTTGTTCTTTTATTTAGATGCAAAAAGTGGCTGCATACATGGAAAGTAGGGTATATGCTAATTTGAAGTAGAGCATATGCTAATTTGTGTTGCAGCCCATATATGGTTACTTTTAATCAAATTTTAATAACATCAAAAGCTCTGTACTTTCTGGAATATGTGATATAGTTCGTTCATGCATAGATGTTACACTAACGATAACAAGGGAAGAAACTATTTCATGATCTTTGGAACTACAAGGTTGTTGATATTATAGATGTTTTGAAGAGATAGATTATATTGTTTTTTAACACAATAGACATTTAGTTACTTACATATCCTATGCTATCCTATGTTAGCCAATGAAGAATATTTATACATTTACTCCTCCCTTTTAGCATCCATCACTGTTGAGGTGAGGGCAATAATTCCTTGTACACCAAGGATGTTAGAATATGTTTTATTTATATGTTTCCTACGTAGGATTGCAAAATTTCATATTAAATTTATAGAAGCTTTCACTAGCTACTTTGCTAATTTTATTTTATTTTCTAATCAGGGATTGGTATCCATCAAAGATAAATCTCATCAGGTGATAGTTCAGGGTGTTCATGAGCTCTATGATCTAGAGGAAACAACTGTGAGATGGAAAGAGGATGAACGAATTAATAGATTGGTTTTAATAGGTAAGAAATATATGCATTTCATATGCCAGTTGTATAAAATTATTAATTCTACAAAAAATGGAAAAATGATCAGCAAAACTGTTCTTGATACAGTACTACAGAAAATGGATTAAAACTTTTAAATAAAATTGTTTAAAGTACCTAGTTTCTACAGAGATATTCTGGTATTTGTGGAGTCCTTGGGGTTCTCTGAAGGTTCTTTTCTTGCAAACGTTTCATTACCCAGCTAGGTAACATCTTCAGTGCTAAATGGGATGGGGTTTGCTCTCTATTTATATATTGGGGCCTGCCTTGCCAGTGTTGGTGGGGGTGGGGGCTTTGTTTTGGTCCTCTGGTAGTTCCTTGATTAGCCTATGTTTACTACTTGATTGTGTGCCTGGTGGTAACCTCTGCTTATCTGGGTGATGATTGCTAGATCTTCTGGTCTGTTGTCTCTTTTGAATAGTATGTAGAGGCTGTTTATCTCTATGTGTCTGGTATTTGACAGTACTAAATGTTACCTTTCATTGCCATTAATTTCCTTTTTTTAGAAGCTTTGTAGTGTGCATGCACGTGAACATTTTTAAAAACAATTGATTCTGCACTATTCAATGAATTGGTTTGCTGCCATTTTATAATTATTTGAATGTGTTCTCAGAGCAGTTTCTGAATGGTTTATGACAGCTGGCAGTTCTGGCCCAGTCTACATATAATGGCAGCAAAATCATATTTTTAACTGTAGGCCTTTTCCATTCTCATATAAAGCTTTTATATATTTTTAAAGGTAATAGTTTTCAACTAACCATGGCTGTTTCAATTACTATGTTATAACCTGTGAACTGCTGAGAGTTCCTTGGGATTGTGGTGGGATATAAATATAATAATAAATAAATGAAGCAGAGAATAGGATGCTGCTGTTTGTTTATCATGTAGTTTTCTAAGGCCACTCAGCAAAGAACAGAAGAGATACATGGACAAGGGATGCTGAATTATCCTCTTATCTCTGTCTTACCTAGATATACACTTTACCCAATAATTAGTTTCGGTGATTTTTAGTAGGGCTGCATGTGTTTCAGAAATAACTTGAAAGAAATTATTTGGACTCTGTGCGGCACCTCCCTGCTAGTCATTAGAGCAGTCCAGCTTTTTTTAGGCTTCTGCGTTAGAAAATTAGCAGAATTGAGAAAAAGTCATCAAAAGGAATAGGTTGCTGAAAAGCAAATAACCTTTTTTCTCTTTTAACACTGGTAAATAATAATATAGTAGAGATTTTGGCATTGAGCTAAAAAAAATCATACTTCTTTCTTATATCATAAAAACTCAAAGTATTTTGCTTGGCATGGTTTGTCTTTTATTAACTGAGCATTAATTATATAACTTTAGCAATTCTCTGTCCATTTCTTGATATTATCTTTTTGAAAATACATCTTTGTTTTAAATAAAAGTAAATTAATAAAAAGAAAAGCAAATGACTGGTGAAGGTAGGCGAAGTGGTACAGTGTTCTCAGCTGTCTTACACTGTTATTGTTAATCCTGCTCTACTTTTTGAGTTATTAGTATAACTTGCAACTAAAAACACACATCTGCCATACTCTACATGTAGTTCAGGCCTAGGAATTGAGTCAAACACCTAAGCTGTAGCCATTTGTTGATGTTAAATGCATAGTAGCTTTGTTGATTGGATAGGCTACTTCCTAGGGAAATAAAATATTGCCAGCGAGCTGAGGCCTGCAGTTGCTCTTGGATTTCCACAGAGTTTGCAACTGAGGTAGCTCTAGAGAGTTTGTTAGAGAGGGATAAAGCATGACAGCTTTTCCTTCATTCATCTGCTAAGAGTTTAGATACAAGCCAGATGTTCCTGCAGTACAAGCTGGGAGAAGGGATATTAGAACTAAGCCATCCTCCTTGGAATAAGAATGTGAAAAGAAGAGATGGTGGGAGTTGCATTTGATGGACATAACTCTTCATCCAAGCAATTCCCCCGTCATAGGACAAAAAGCAGATTTAAGCAGTCTTGCTTTTGCAAGAAAATAACTGGAGTAGGTTACATGGGAAGGGATACTTTCTCGCTGGGGTGCTCTCCTTTATCTCCTGTATATGTCCAATTTTAATAATTTTGTAGTAAGCATTGGTTGTATTTCAGTAAACAGTAACATAGTTTCTCCGTAATGCAAACTATTGTAATGTATTAAAAATGTTTTCAATTTTATCTTATTTGTCCCTAGGTAGGAACCTGGATAAAGATATCCTTAAAGATGTCTTCGTAGGAATTGTGACCAAAAGAGAGGAAAATAGCTGAAGAAAACTGCATTTCAATCCTGCATTTTTAGCAATGGATTATTAAAATATTGTGGACCTGTTTTCATTTTTTTTAATAGTTGTTGTTTGTACAGCTATTAAATTTTGGGGGCTCTGCACTCTGCAGATTTTATTTTACTTTTTGAAATAACCAGACTTTTAAGCACTGGATTATAATTAAACATAATATAATTAAATAATCTAATTGTATGTTTAAATGAGCAGAATCTAATTCAGTCCACCAAGTTAATAAGATCTTGGATTGATTATCTTTCTTAGGTTAGTGACTAACAATTAAGTCATTATAAGTTTTTTAATGAAAATAATGCTAAAAAAGGGAATTCAGTTATCTGTTAGAATTAAGTGTCTAGAAGCATTCTGAAGAAAACTTTCTTAACCTGAGTCAACATAATAAATTTATGATTCAGCTTGGCCTTCCCCAAACTTGGTATGCTCCAAATATGTGGACTTCAGCTCCCAACATTTTCACAATTCTTCCAGAATTCAAGCCAATCCTCAGCTAGCAAATTAATTTTAGGAAGTTAATCTGACCAAAGCTGGGGAAGCTGGTTCCATTTAACAGACTTTAGATGCAGCAGACCATCTTTCTACCCAGACATTTTCCTAAAGTAAGGAGAAATTCATTGCATCCAAATCAGTCTAGACAAGACAGTTAAGTTGATATTAACTGTAAAACTAAAACAAACATTGCACGTAGATACAGTGTTTTCAGGAATATACCCATGCACATACTTACCCTCACCCACTCGTTTTAAGTTTATTCATCCTGGAAAAGCGTAGATGATTTCCTTCATTATCATATCTTCCAAGATTCCACTTTTGAGGATCTGCAATTCAGATGTTATGTGATTGATATAATGGAGCTTGGTTGAGACAGTTAATAGTACTTTCATAAAACCCAGTTCATAAAGGGTTTTTTTGGGGGGGAGGGTCTCCTTTCTGGTATTTTAGAAAATACTTCTAACAAATTCCCTTCCAATCTAATTTTTTAAGTTAAGTGCCTACATCTCCTCTTGAGCCCTATAAAACTGCTGCCCATATTTAAGTATCAAGTTTGGGTTTATCCAGAATCAGCAATTAATTTCTAATAAAATAGATTTGGGTATATCCTTGAAATGTCACTTCCCCAGTCTTTGTTCAGAGAGGTGAGTTTTTTTAAAAAAAACAAGCCAACACACATTAGTTAGGGGAATGTATCTGCACCTATTATCCTTCGTCTAGCCCATGTTTGGTAAAGAGGTGCTGGGACTGAGCTCTTACAAGAAATTAAACCTTGACCAGAACTCTCCAATACAACCTTTTCCAATTTGGGGTTCTCCAGGTGTGTTCAGCTGTAACACCCGTAATTTCCAACCAATTTAGCCAACAGATAATGGAAGTTGTTCAGCCCATCAGAAGAAAGATGAGGGAAGGGTGCTCTACTGAATGCTGAAAATTGCTTCTCTGGAGAAAGGAAGCCACAGCCCAAATATGAATAGGTTTCTTTAGTTTTAACACATTTATTTTTAAAGAATTAGGTTGCCTTATCAAACAAAATGGGGATGACACAATGTTATTTTAAGATATGAGTATGAGCCTGAAAATAAATTTGAACCCCTGGAAGATAGAGAGCATGGCTGGTTTTCGATAGAGAGATAAAGATCTTGGCCAGTGATTTTTTTTTTCTCCGAAGGCAAACTGCAGAAAAAAATTTGTTTCTCACCATTTTCCATCACACTGTAAATCCTGGTTTTTGCTCAGTTGCCAGACTGGGTATGACAACTAGGGATTGAACTGCCATCCAAAGCACTAAAAGTTAATCTTCCTGAATCTCTAAGGCAACACTTGTTACTTCTTTGGAAGCTGTAGTTAGAAAGGTGAATCGACCTCAGTATCACTGCCTGTAGTAGAGCACTCCTTATCGCCCTAAGATATCTGATCTCATGTAAATCTTAATAAAGATTTCCATCTACTTTTCCACTATACCATTGTCTGACTGATTTTCTCATCCTCAGAGTAATTACTGTTTGATCAGTTTGCCCTTCCAGATGAAGTGCAACATGTTTAAAATCCCAGTATTTCAGTAGATGCTTTGTAATGTAGCCCTATGGAGGTCTACTCAGAAGGAAGTCCCATTAAGCTTAATAGGATTTAAGTAAGCTTTAAGTAAGCAGTTACACATACATAACTACAGTCTGTGTTATATTGATTACAGCCCTTCTGAAATTGCTTTTGAGGACTAAAAAAAAAAAAATATTTTGACAGGCAGGCTTCAAATATCCTCAACGCCACTCCTGAATGCTCTTGCTTATTTTAGAAAATGTCAGCAAGTGGCAGCAGCTGGCTGACCTTGGATAATCTCGAAAAGTTAGGCAGAATCAGACTTGGTCTTCTTAAAGTGAAATCCTAAACATACTTATTAAAGAATAAGATCCAATGATATAGTTGCACCAAGATTGCATAAGATCAGGCCCCCAGTACGTCTACCTCAGAGATTTGAAATATTTCACAATGAGGGTATTCTGTAATATTCTGATTTTTTTATTTGATAGGAAAATAATACATTTTGGTGAATTTGATACATAAGTTGTTTCTTCAGTTTGATTAATTTTTTTAAAAATATATTACTTGGATAATTGCGAGACCATTAATATGTTCTGCTGTTTCTATAAAGCTTTAAGTAACTTTAGTGAATTTTGTAATTCAGTATAGTATTATAGTTGAATGAGCTATGGACTGAAACCAAATGTTCAACAGTATATCTCAATGAGCAGTAGACTAACATTGGAAAGATTATTCTGAAAGATAAATGTGTTCAACAACAAATGTATCTAAGTGATGCTAAAAGAGAGATGATGTCTTGTTGCTGGGATAAGAAACTCTAAACAGAAAAATACATAGAGCGCTCAGTGGCAGCCTACTATTACTTTTACAGTGAAGTGCAGTGGCATCTTATAAACAAACTTGTTTCATTTAGTTTAATGCTGATTAACAGGTGCACGTAAAGAACTATTTTTATTTAAATAACTTCGTAAACAATCAGTATCACACACTGCAGGCTTTGTAATCAATCCACTGTTATGCAGGGTAACTTAGTTCTAAATATGGATAGGAAGAATTTTTTCCTTACTTATTTTTAAACACAAATTAAAAGCACGTGGCAGAATTTACAATGAAAAAACAACAGGGCTCAGATGCGTCAGTTCCTGGAGTAAAGTTAGCAAATCACTCAGCAAGAGATTTTCTTATATATTCTGCATCAAGTTTTCTTGTCACACCCCCTTACTATTTTAGAGTTTGGGGACAAAACTCATTGGTGGATAATTATGTTTTTCCTGGCACGCATAAATAGGGCTCTCTTGAATTTAGCTGTGTCGTACCAAATGTACCTATTATATCATTGACTGGATAGGCAATCAACAAGTATTTTAATTTTTGTGCTTGTTTTTTGACTGCGGATAAGGGTTTTTTCACTAATTTACTTTTTAAAATTAGAAGCGGCTTCCTCATCCGTATCTGTAAAGTGCTGTCACTCCCATGATTTGAAAAGAAAAAAACCACACTACTAAAAACAGCAAGTTTGTTTTTTCGACCATCATTTGTTCCCACTCCCCACCTTGTATAACCCGAAATACTTCCCCAGTTTATTTTCCCACCTCAGGAATAAGCCCTATTTTCTTTTAGTTTTTTAGTCTTTTATTTTCCCCTTGCCTGCAGGATCTTCTCCAGAATACTCTCTGATTTCGGGACTGTAAGCCACTAGCCAGATACGATAGGCTTACGAACAGGGAGGGGCACCTCTATGGGCGCGCGTTGTTTCAGCCAATATTCATTTACCAAAATATGGAGGGGGGAGGGAAACAACCTATGAGAATTCTGAGCCCAAGAATTTGTTTTAAGAGAGCTCCTACTTCTTCCATAAAAATATTCCAGCTCTTTTTATTTCAACCGTCCAACGGGCTGGTTGGATTATGTTCTCTGGATCACAGCTGCCGCCACTCACCATTAGCGGTGTCAACAAGGGTTGATGGACTAGGATGCATCGTCTGGAGAGCCACGCGTTGCCCATCTTAAGATCCCACCCACAGAGGGCACCCGGACAGGACCTCTGAGTTCACCTTTGGGATAAGGGGTCTGCAATCCGTCCCTTAATCTTGCTCGAGCTCTGTTCCCAACCGCCGATCGGGGTCAATTCCTCATTTACAGAGTTAAAAACGAGCGTTTGACATTCCTGTCAGAGGCAGACGGGGCTCCGGTCCCTTCTGATGCGTCTTCCCCCCTCTTCCCGTAGTGATTGGGGTATGCCAATGGAAAGGGAGACCCTCCCCCTTCAGGCGACGAGGAGGGGGTAAGGGGGCAATAAAAGACCCAACAGCCTCAAAGCTGGGTCATTTGGGATCCGCGCCGACTGCAGGTCCGCCTCGCCCTCCCCCTTCGGGGCTGGATTGATTTTTCCTTCATATGAGCCCGTCCGGCGAGGAAGCAGTTTGGGACCATCTTCGAGGCCAGAGTTCAGATGAAGAAGAAAGCCACGAAGAGGAAGACGTCGACATCTTGGGTGAGAGCGACCGGGGACGCCGGCCCCGTCCCAAGGAGCCCGGGAGCCGCGCCGCCGGGAGCAGCCAGGCCACGGGAGCAGCTGGGAGACAGGCTCCCGGCGCGGC